TGTGGAGAATAAAGTTTCTTTATTTGTTGCCCGAATAACTTGATAAATTATTGCGCATTTTCTTATGGTGCAGACATTCATCACCAATTTTATAGCTTTTCTGGCCCTAGATTACTTAATTTATATTAGATGCCTAACATCTCTGTATTGACGAAAAGTTATTTAACTTTTATATCTTCTATTTGATCAGATTATAGTTGGAGTATAACATATCCAGGTGTTTCATACATCCTTTCATGTAGGTGAAAAACACTTTATTTTGTTAGTTATACATGATATATGACCTAGGCGAAGAAATTTATTCTTAAATAGCCATCATGCAAGTCAAAATTAGCTAAAATTTGCCTTTTTTGTGCTATAAAACCTAAGAGGGCATTATCAACTTTAGGGGATAAATATCGGGTGTTGCTTATATTTTTACATTTTTAGTATGTTCATATTTGATTAATATGTAATTTCCTATTTTTATAAATAATAATGTAGGTAAATCAGCCATCTTAATTGAATTGACTATTCCATCGTCATAATTCACATAAAGGTCAATTAAATATGAATCTTGCATAGTTGTAATGTCTATTATATCTTTTCTAATTCCTACTATAAATGATATTATTTGGTGAAATGTATGCACTGCATGCTTTTTATTTAATTTCATATATTTTTCACTATCCACATTATAAGTTACTAAATATTTTGACGTTCAATTAGCAAAGTAATTTATATTTCAACACGTTACGAAACGTTCATTTGTATGGCCTATTCTGCCAGTTTCTCTATTGCATCCACATTCTGTGCTATTAAGTGTGATTGTATTTGATTTTTATACATTTTACACCAGTTTTCATCACCCAGATCTACAAAATAAACACTAATTTACAATAAAGCTACCAGGAAGATGCATTTTCATTTATTTTCTCAATTGCGCTAATTGCTCTGGCAATAGTTAAATAAGAATAACAACACTTGCCATATTCTACTCTTAGTTCTTTCGAGTTTTGGGAATTAAATATAAAGTAGAATTACACATTAACCAGCTGCATCGATACCAAGTTAGTTTTGCTTGTATATCTACACCCAAGTACGGCTCATTGTGTGAATTTGCATAATAAATGACAACTTGTTGAAAAAGTACCACACATTTTACGTGAAATCTTTACCTCAACTACTTAGTTTAAATAATATTTAATTAAAATTCAATTATTGTCGGACTAATTCGGTTGTTCAGTAAAACATTTGTCTGGTATGTCATCCAAGTATGAGTAGAATAGACAAATTAGCATAAAACTATAATAAATAAACTATACTTGTTAAGAAGGTGAATTTATTTTAAGGCATTTTTCACTTTACAACTTTATAGACTGTCATATTTGATCGTGGACAGATGATGGGGGAAAGATGCTGCGAATGCACACATGGAGATGGGAAGATCGAATTTATCAAGTTCAAAGACGGTAAGTCAAGCCCCACCTGTCTACGTTGATACAAACCAAAAACCCTTTTCTATCTCTCCAATGTTGCATTTGCTCATATGCTCCATTTCGGCTCTGGAATCTCTGTCTCTAGGCCGACTTGTGTGCGCATTCGTCCACCTACAACAGCTCTCTTGAGCTCTGCCACAGAATGACTAACCATAATGCGTCTCAAGGCTTGAATGCGCAAATTCGTTTTGATTTTTGGGTTGAATGCTTGCACTTCTGCCATCCGTTGGCCCAGCATATCTTGGAGACTAAAGTGTATATACATTATTGGCATAAATGCTGGCAAGAAGCAGTGTTTAGTGTCTGCGAAACCTGAAGTGTACATTAAAGAAAGGTAATTGTATGCAAAAAGAATGCAAGCAAGAATTCGAGTCCCAAATTGTACTGGAAGCGTCAGGTCTAAGTGCTACGTGATCTTATCTTCAAACTTTGTAAAATATAGTTTAGCTTTAAGCCTTAAAATCACAGATTAAAGTTCCAAATTTCCTTAATTTAGTATCTGGTAATAGTTCTCATTTTCACAATTTCTCTGTTATTTTACGAGCACATACTAAACATTAAGCCATTTCGAACAGAGTTGGAGAGAAGTTTATGCTACTACAAACTCTCTATAATATACACTTTTGAGAGATATTTAGTTTTTGACAATTAATGTAGTGAAGTATTAATTAGATTTGGAAAAGTGTTTTTATTTGGGTCCTTATTACTTGTCGACTCTGTGAGAATGTGCAATTATTGTTCAATTTCGTCATCTATATTCTTAAAAAGTGTGTCCATTTTTAGAATCATTTTTTTTCGATGAGATGACTATTGAATGTGCATTATTGTTTGTACAGCATCTTAAGCCTTAACGACGGAAGGCTCAGGTGTGGAGATAAAAAATAATAATAAAAATATGCCATTTAGGCCTGTGTTATACTTTAAGAGATAAACATTTAAGAACAATTAAATTCGCTTCAAGGGCTGAAACGAAAAATGTACATTTATGGGCGTAGTGAAAAGTAATATTTAATTAATCAATTTATTTTATTTTATTAAATTAATTAATCGTATAGCCTTTATCTATATAGTGTTGGTTTGACTTAATTTTTTTACATCTGGCTGTCGTCAGATCCGGGGACTTGGTACCTTTTCAGGCATTTCTTCGACAGCTCTAGCACCAAGTT